CAACGGCGAAACGCGTCGCATAGTGGTGAGTGTGTGATAGTGTCTATCTGGCTTTCCTTTTCACTGCAAATTTCAGATCATTAAGCTCGTCTCGAAAGAGAAAACAAACACATAAATCATAAAAAAACATATGATCTTCGCCTTAACAAGGCAAAACTCAAAAATTCAGCCGAGCCTGGCTGTGGGATTTGAACCGCGGACTTCGGTGTGCAGCCAACTAGAAGTTGCCGTCTCTACGTTCATAGCCATTAACCCGTCTTCCTAAAGCAGCACTAAAACAAGTGTATGCATTGGAAGCAATGTAGTTGTTGTGGACAAAAAATCCATCACTACAAAAACAAAACTTTGCTGTGAAAAAGATCTGCCAATAGAACTTGAGTCGAACCTGGAGAGTTTCTACTGTATAATTCGCATATGCTAATTTGCAATAAGTTCGAAATATATACTACTTTCCAGAGAACGGCCCTTGTAAGCCATCATCCACACCAAATATGCCTGATGAGCCGCTTAGCCAACGGCGAAACGCGTCGCATAGTGGTGAGTGTGTGATAGTGTCTATCTGGCTTTCCTTTTCACTGCAAATTTCAGATCATTAAGCTCGTCTCGAAAGAGAAAACAAACACATAAATCATAAAAAAACATATGATCTTCGCCTTAACAAGGCAAAACTCAAAAATTCAGCCGAGCCTGGCTGTGGGATTTGAACCGCGGACCTCGGTGTGCAGCCAACTAGAAGTTGCCGTCTCTACGTTCAGAGCCATTAACCCATCTTCCTATAGCAGCACTAAAACAAGTGTATGCATTGGAAGCAATGTAGTTGTTGTGGACAAAAAATCCATCACTACAAAAACAAAACTTTGCTGTGAAAAAGATCTGCCAATAGAACTTGAGTCGAACCTGGAGAGTTTCTACTGTATAATTCGCATATGCTAATTTGCAATAAGTTCGAAATATATACTACTTTCCAGAGAACGGCCCTTGTAAGCCATCATCCACACCAAATATGCCTGATGAGCCGCTTAGCCAACGGCGAAACGCGTCGCATAGTGGTGAGTGTGTGATAGTGTCTATCTGGCTTTCCTTTTCACTGCAAATTTCAGATCATTAAGCTCGTCTCGAAAGAGAAAACAAACACATAAATCATAAAAAAACATATGATCTTCGCCTTAACAGTAACATTACTATTGTACAAAATGAAAATGTTCAAATTTAACATTTTTACGTGTTTTTTTTTTTTTTTTTTTTTTTTGATTTTATTATTTTCTGCCAAGAGGCAATTCCGAATTTGTCTGAATCGTTAAAATTAGACCGGCGGTCTTTATGTTATGAGAGTAGTAACTAACATAACTTTCTTTTACATATAGAGAGATAGATATAGAGATAGATAGAAGTACTTAGGGTTGGATGGAAAGCCAACAGGATCTCGAGTAATAATTCTCAAACCGATATCTTCATTATTTTGGCAAATATAAGGATTTTAGATAAATCAAAATAGTGGGCGTAAAAGTAGTCAAGGTCAATATTTTTTCCTTTAAAAACCAAACTTGGGGTATGACGAATGTTTGTAAAAAAAATTTTTCAAATCAACTGCTTCCATTACCAACCAACAACAATTGATTTTTATATATATAGATATACCGGACGGAGTTTCACCAAATGCTAAAACTCGGTTGAATATGAAAAAATCTTTTTAATTTGGGCTGATATTACTTATATGATGAGGAATAACCGTAAAATCGGGTGAGGATGTATATCGAAATTAATTAAAAATTTGAACGGATCTCAATAAAATTTGATAGAGGTATTTCCTAGCTGCGTCTGATGTCCGGTATCCAATACCTTTGTTGTGGAGCGCATATTTCGCATGGAGGGACTTTATCACCAAATCGGATAAAACAAATATATGTTAGCTATAGCTATATCTGAACCGATTTTTTTTCCAAATTTGAAGTACATTCTTCTATGCTGGATTCGGTCAGATTTGCCAAAATTTAGGTTAGTGCGACTGATATTAGTCATTAGGTACACAATTAAACCGAAATCGGTTAAAGATATATATGGGAGCAATATCTAAACTTTTTACCGATTCTCACTAATTTCATAGGGTTCGAAATATTGTTTGAAAAATTTCATCTGAGTCGGATAATAAATGCGACCTGCATTTTGTTCACAAAAATACATGGACAGACGGACTGCAATGCATAAATGGACTCAGAAAGTGATTCTATGAAGATCCTCAAAACTATGGACCCATCTCGCTTCTTTCTCCATGTTACAAACAAATTCACAAATACATAATACCCTTACCACTATGTGGTGTAGGGTATAAATACACCTTTAAACGTTAGGACACTATAACAGCTGCCAGGATGAAGTAGGAGCTATGCTAATTAAGTCCAACTCAGGGATGTGTCTTCTTACACAATATAGAGTATCGACACACTAACTTTCCGTTTGTAACATAGAGAAGGAAGAGAAATAGTTCCAGAGTTCATTTGCTGATCTACATAGAATCTCAATCTAAGTCGATTTTTGCAGGTACTTCCGTCTGTCTGTCAATGTATTTTTGTAAGCAAAGTACAGGTCGCAGTTTTTTTTTTTTTTTTTGTAATTTTATTTATTCATATAAAAATCATGTACAATTCAGAAGTCCCGCGAAGCCGTAAGCTTGTCTGCAGGATTAGCTTAAATGTTGTTGGGAATAGACCCAACCCCATAGACGATGATATCGATATGGACCTTATCGATCTCGATAATTAAAACTATCGATGAGGTTACATCGTCAAGGAGTTTTTGTTGGCACTCTTCTTCTTGAAGTTCAAAAAGTGGATCGCCAGATCAAACAAAATTGTGAATTTTCATAAATAAAAAAGTTGACCGACAGAGTCATTTTAACTTTGAAGTAAAAATTATTAAACTGATTTTTCTTTTGTGCAGACAACAAACGTAAGTATCGCCAGAATACTTTTGTGTTTGTTGTAGGTTGCTAAATAATATTGTTGTTCGTCTTTGTGCAACAATAAATTTCGGCTCAAAATCTACTCAGTAGAATTTAAACCAACAAGTCCATACGACGGTATTGGAACTTGTACATGGTCCTTCGAGTCCAAAAAATAAAGAATCGGCTTATTTGCCAAAAATATTTTCCAAAAAAAGCACTAATTTAATTTGAGGGCTTAACTCTAGTTTAGTAAAAACTCTTCAATTTTTTTAAAATTTTTTTCAGTGATAGGTATTTTTACGCTGATTTCGGGAAACTATTTTTTTCTTTGGGGACGGACTCGGGACCCCCGATTTTTGACCCGAAAGTTCGGGTCTTGGACCCGGTCTGGACCCGGATCCACTTACCCGATATAGACAATATAGGTATCGTTTGAAAGCTTATGAAAATACCTATCCAGTGGTCACATGATGGGGTTATTAGAAGCGGTTCGGAAGATATAGTCAAATTATCGATTTTTTGGACCCGGATTTTTTATAAATCCCCCAAAAAGTCGGAAAAGGGTCCATTATGCGGGTCAACAAAGTTAATGCCAAATTATAGCTGACACTCTTACCTTTCCAAAATGGTACAATTTGTGTTAATATCTTTTCTGGGTCCAGAGATATGGGTCTATCCATCCGCATATCCCAATTCTAACCAGTTCATTAAATTATGATTTAAATACAAAAAAAATTTCCCGTAGCCTGCGTTGGATTTACAAAAGTATTAAATTTAGAAAACTTTGGTTCGCGTTAGCCGGTGTGGGACATACCCAGAGGAGAAAATCTCAAGCCCCGGCCGAAGGCCGGCTACTTACAAAAAGTGTCAAATTTAGAAAACTTTGGTTCGCGTTAGCCGGTGTGGGACATACCCAGAGGAGAAAATCTCAAGCCCCGGCCGAAGGCCGGCTACTTACAAAAAGTGTCAAATTTAGAAAACTTTGGTTCGCGTTAGCCGGTGTGGGACATACCCAGAGGAGAAAATCTCAAGCCCCGGCCGAAGGCCGGCTACTTACAAAAAGTGTCAAATTTAGAAAACTTTGGTTCGCGTTAGCCGGTGTGGGACATACCCAGAGGAGAAAATCACAAGCCCCGGCCGAAGGCCGGCTACTTACAAAAAGTATCAAATTTAGAAAACTTTGGTTCGCGTTAGCCGGTGTGGGACATACCCAGAGGAGAAAATCTCAAGCCCCGGCCGAAGGCCGGCTACCTACAAAAAGTGTCAAATTTAGAAAACTTTGGTTCGCGTTAGCCGGTGTGGGACATACCCAGAGGAGAAAATCACAAGCCCCGGCCGAAGGCCGGCTACTTACAAAAAGTGTCAAATGTAGAAAATTTAGCATAGTCGGTTAAATATACCCAGAAAAGAAAAAATGTGCACATTTTTGAAAAAATTTAAAAAATTCAACATTTTATTCAAATATATATTCTATTATATTCTATTTCTATGATTTTACAAATTTTAATTACTTATAAGATATATTTATCACATTTCAATTTCAATTTCATCCTCCGCAGTTTCTGTCAAAAACTTTAACCGATCTTCCTCAGCTTTTGGGTTTGCAGGATTATACATTATTCCGGCATATTTCAAAAATTCGGCAAATATATCCTTGCCGGTCATGCTACACCACCGTATAAATATATATTTTTGTATGTAGCCGTTAAAAAAGATTTTTCGACGGCTATATTCAGGTAGGGAAGCTTTGAAATGTCTCCATAACCCTTCAATAGTGTTGATATGGTAACCAGTCTGAGGGTCCACAAAATGAAGTGAATGGTTCACCTTATGGTGGGTATAGCCCTCCTCCGCCAGCGTGTCATAAGCCTATAATATATATACACAAATATTATTAATTATATTTTAATATAATATAAAAAACATACCTTCCAGCAATCCGAGACTATTATGGTTCCCGGGAGAATATATTTTTAATAAGTGGCAAGAGGCTTTCCCTTGTCCTTTCTTCCACCGGGACAATAAAACATTTATTGGAGCCTCTCCTCCAAAGACCCACTGCCCCTCTACCCAGTGTCCTCTATTAAATTTCCTTCTCCCAATTTTACTCTCGTCTATCTCAACGATTTTTCCTGGACCGCCTAGCCTCACCGTGTCCTGGAACGAACCGAAAACAACCACTTCCCTGCAAAAGTTGTTCCAATCCGTTGCAGATTGCTCACCTGTGATATTGGCTGTTTTCATGATAAAATTTATGGGTAAATTGCCACACCATAAATATGAAAACGCCAATATTTGGTAGGCGGACAAGTGGGACCGGTCCAGGAAGGTACCTTTCCTTATGGACTGGCTGAAGGTACACCTTCCAGCTCTTTTATGGCCCTTTAAATACCGCTCGGTACATCTAAAAAGAAAAATGTTAATTTAAATTTTCAAAAAAAAATTATGTACTTACCGCCAAACCCAGCCGTCCACTGTTGTTGAGCTTTTCACTAATCTTAGTGAATGCCCTTTATCGCACTTTAATTTGCCCTCTGGCGGTATAATACCCCAGGCAATTAACGCTTTCAGAGCATTTTCGGGGATTTTACCCCAAATCTCATGATTAAATAAATCATACAGCTCAGTAATGCGTTCAATATTCATTGTTTACTTTAATTTTCTTTTTCCTTACACCAACTTTCTTATAACGGTATTTTTTTGTTTTCATATTAACACTTTACTTAAAGGATAAAAATATACTTACATATTGACAGTTGTTGTACAATAAGTATGACCAACCGAATTTCATAAAAATCAAGTTTTACTTATACAATTAATATCTCTGGACCCAGAAAAGATATTAACACAAATTGTACCATTTTGGAAAGGTAAGAGTGTCAGCTATAATTTGGCATTAATTTTGTTGACCCACATAATGGACCCTTTTCCGACTTTTTGGGGGATTTATAAAAAATCCGGGTCCAAAAAATCGATAATTTGACTATATCTTCCGAACCGCTTCTAATAACCCCACCACTTGTTGGATAGGTATTTTCATAAGCTTTCAAACGATACCTATATTGTCTATATCGGGTAAGTGGATCCGGGTCCAGACCGGGTCCAAGACCCGGACTTTCGGGTCAAAAATCGGGGGTCCCGATGAAGTAGGAGCTATGCTAATTAAGTCCAACTCAGGGATGTGTCTTCTTACACAATATAGAGTATCGACACACTAACTTTCCGTTTGTAACATAGAGAAGGAAGAGAAATAGTTCCAGAGTTCATTTGCTGATCTACATAGAATCTCAATCTAAGTCGATTTTTGCAGGTACTTCCGTCTGTCTGTCAATGTATTTTTGTAAGCAAAGTACAGGTCGCAGTTTTTTTTTTTTTTTTGTAATTTTATTTATTCATATAAAAATCATGTACAATTCAGAAGTCCCGCGAAGCCGTAAGCTTGTCTGCAGGATTAGCTTAAATGTTGTTGGGAATAGACCCAACCCCATAGACGATGATATCGATATGGACCTTATCGATCTCGATAATTAAAACTATCGATGAGGTTACATCGTCAAGGAGTTTTTGTTGGCACTCTTCTTCTTGAAGTTCAAAAAAGTGGATCGCCAGATCAAACAAAATTGTGAATTTTCATAAATAAAAAAGTTGACCGACAAAGTCATTTTAACTTTGAAGTAAAAATTATTAAAGTGATTTTTCTTTTGTGCAGACAACAAACGTAAGTATCGCCAGAATACTTTTGTGTTTGTTGTAGGTTGCTAAATAATATTGTTGTTCGTCTTTGTGCAACAATAAATTTCGGCTCAAAATCTACTCAGTAGAATTTAAACCAACAAGTCCATACGACGGTATTGGAACTTGTACATGGTCCTTCGAGTCCAAAAAATAAAGAATCGGCTTATTTGCCAAAAATATTTTCCAAAAAAAGCACTAATTTAATTTGAGGGCTTAACTCTAGTTTAGTAAAAACTCTTCAATTTTTTTAAAATTTTTTTCAGTGAGAGGTATTTTTACGCTGATTTCGGGAAACTATTTTTTTCTTGGGGGACGGACTCGGGACCCCCGATTTTTGACCCGAAAGTTCGGGTCTTGGACCCGGTCTGGACCCGGATCCACTTACCCGATATAGACAATATAGGTATCGTTTGAAAGCTTATGAAAATACCTATCCAGTGGTCACATGATGGGGTTATTAGAAGCGGTTCGGAAGATATAGTCAAATTATCGATTTTTTGGACCCGGATTTTTTATAAATCCCCCAAAAAGTCGGAAAAGGGTCCATTATGCGGGTCAACAAAGTTAATGCCAAATTATAGCTGACACTCTTACCTTTCCAAAATGGTACAATTTGTGTTAATATCTTTTCTGGGTCCAGAGATATGGGTCTATCCATCCGCATATCCCAATTCTAACCAGTTCATTAAATTATGATTTAAATACAAAAAAATTTCCCGTAGCCTGCGTTGGATTTACAAAAGTATTAAATTTAGAAAACTTTGGTTCGCGTTAGCCGGTGTGGGACATACCCAGAGGAGAAAATCTCAAGCCCCGGCCGAAGGCCGGCTACTTACAAAAAGTGTCAAATTTAGAAAACTTTGGTTCGCGTTAGCCGGTGTGGGACATACCCAGAGGAGAAAATCTCAAGCCCCGGCCGAAGGCCGGCTACTTACAAAAAGTGTCAAATTTAGAAAACTTTGGTTCGCGTTAGCCGGTGTGGGACATACCCAGAGGAGAAAATCTCAAGCCCCGGCCGAAGGCCGGCTACTTACAAAAGTGTCAAATTTAGAAAACTTTGGTTCGCGTTAGCCGGTGTGGGACATACCCAGAGGAGAAAATCACAAGCCCCGGCCGAAGGCCGGCTACTTACAAAAAGTGTCAAATTTAGAAAACTTTGGTTCGCGTTAGCCGGTGTGGGACATACCCAGAGGAGAAAATCTCAAGCCCCGGCCGAAGGCCGGCTACCTACAAAAAGTGTCAAATTTAGAAAACTTTGGTTCGCGTTAGCCGGTGTGGGACATACCCAGAGGAGAAAATCACAAGCCCCGGCCGAAGGCCGGCTACTTACAAAAAGTGTCAAATGTAGAAAATTTAGCATAGTCGGTTAAATATACCCAGAAAAGAAAAAATGTGCACATTTTTGAAAAAATTTAAAAAATTCAACATTTTATTCAAATATATATTCTACTAGCTGGCCCGGTCCGCGTTGCCGGCCCATAGTTTTTGTATATTATGCATATTTGTCAAAGCATGATTATTTAAAGATATGAATGTTATAAATATTCACGTACTGGTCGATTAGTTTTTAATTTTTAGTCAAATGAGCAGTAATTTGGAATTTACTGTACTTTGTACAACTCGTAATTGAGGGCTAATTGATTTAAGAATAGGCAAAGTTAATTACTTTTTTAAACCCATTAGCACCTCAGATTGTGAATTAGAGTCCTCATAAGTCCCCCTAACCATGTCGGTCTGTTTGTCCGCCAAAAGGTGGACTTGAGGGGATACTATTACATGGAAAAAATCCTAAAATTTGTAGATATGTTGAAATTTTTGTGTAAGATTTTCATCCCCAAATACTCATTTTTAGCCAAATCCTTTGAAATATGGTAAAATGCGAAACATCGACCTATATTGAAAACTTTCTTCACCCCTTATAATCCAAGATGACAAATAGAGGCCAAATCAAAAATATAGCTATTTTACATCCATTACCGTAAGATGGGAATTAATTTTATTTGCCATTTAAATTGTAAGTTGGAGTCCATATTTTTCATCATAGTATAATTTAATGACGATTCAACAAATATTCGGTCCCGTGCTACTTTCTTATATTTGTAATTTGTTCATGTTTTCACAATTTATTTCATATAGATGTATATTTTTTAGTGGTCAAGACCAATATGGGCCCTACTCCGAAAATTTTATGCGAAGAGGTTCTCTACCCCCCTTAGAAACAAAGATGCCAAATAAGGGCCAAAAATAGAAGAAAATGGCGAAGACTCCAAAAATGGCTTAAATCATACGATGCTTATTTATGATCGATATCATGACCTGCTAAAGCGATTTAAGGTATCTTAAATGTTCAGGCAGAATTTTTGGAAGGATAGAAATCCTTTTCTTACTAAAAGTCCCATTCGCTCTACTATTTTGCACCCTTTATATTTGGTATTTTACTGATTGTACTCCCAAAAATTTTTGCATTTTGAGCTCTCATTGGACGGATTATTGTTACATGAAAGAAGTAGGGCCACGCTTTGAAATAAGCCCCATTAGTTTTTTTCGGTCATTTTTGTTTGTTTAAATGTCTGCGCATCTTCCAGCTGAAGCACGATGTAGGCCCTGGAGTTGAAAGGTAGATGTCAGTTACCATCGTATTTCGCACTTATTTCATTTTTTTGGTGAAAAATTGTATATAGTGAAAAATTATTCTATATTTTGTTCACAGAAAATCCACTGAATTCAATATTATAAAACAAATTGAATTGAAATTGACAAAAGAAGAATAACAAATTGAAAAAATCTTTAACTTGTTCGCTGATTTTTTACAGCAACTGTTTAAAGATCCTTACAAAGTTTGTCAATAGAATGTACTTTTATTTTAAAATTCAATTCCATTGGAATTTTTTTCGATATTTTCCCGTTTTGAGAATTGTTGCAATGAGATCTCTTTTTTCGTGTTTCTTTTTAACGATTTTGAAAAAGTAATTTTCTTTTAACTTTGGTGTGACCGCATTAAATTATTTCGGTATCATCTATTCCGTTTCGCCACCACATAATTCGGTACTACACTTCCATGTAACCCGCCATCAATTTCAGTTCTCAAGAAATCAAGTCCATTTAATTATATTGGTTTTAATATTCGAATTCAAAAATAAAATATAAAAAACACTACAAATGTACATTAGAAAAAAGTAAGTCAAAATGGAAACAATCATGCAAAATAAAACATTACTATTGTACATTTCAAAAGTCAAAATGAAAATGTTAATATATCACATTTTTACGCGATTTTTTTTGAATATTATCCTTTTCAGAAAAGAGACAATTCCGAATTTGTATGAATCGTTAAAATCGGATCAGCGGATCTTGAGTTATAAGCGTAGTAACTAACACAACTTTCATTTATATATATAGATTATATTCTATTTCTATGATTTTACAAATTTTAATTACTTATAAGATATATTTATCACATTTCAATTTCATCCTCCGCAGTTTCTGTCAAAAACTTTAACCGATCTTCCTCAGCTTTTGGGTTTGCAGGATTATACATTATTCCGGCATATTTCAAAAATTCGGCAAATATATCCTTGCCGGTCATGCTACACCACCGTATAAATATATATTTTTGTATGTAGCCGTTAAAAAAGATTTTTCGACGGCTATATTCAGGTAGGGAAGCTTTGAAATGTCTCCATAACCCTTCAATAGTGTTGGTATGGTAACCAGTCTGAGGGTCCACAAGGGTCTGAGGGTTCACCTTATGGTGGGTATAGCCCTCCTCCGCCAGCGTGTCATAAGCCTATAATATATATACACAAATATTATTAATTATATTTTAATATAATATAAAAAACATACCTTCCAGCAATCCGAGACTATTATGGTTCCCGGGAGAATATATTTTTTAATAAGTGGCAAGAGGCTTTCCCTTGTCCTTTCTTCCACCGGGAC